GCCGGGGTAGATCGTCAGTTGATTGCGTATGCATGTAAATTGCCCATATAGCTTGACGCATGTCTTTGACACTTCCTATATTTCTTCGTATGGCAAGGCCATAGTAAGTTTGAATTTTATCGATTACACAATCTGTAAGGCGGTTTTTCCCAGATATCCCTTTGCCATCACTTAGTTTTTTCCCCTTCAAATCACATTTAAGCCGGCGAAGTCTTGAGCCCATACGCTACATTACATGCCCAATGCACTCAAGTTTCGTGACTGGATATGCATCTCCATACACATTTTGTCTCTTGATGCTATCAAAGGCTTTGGAGTCTCCATCCCCTAAGTAAGTGGTATAACGTAGGTCATGGAAAGATAAAGATCGTTTAAAAATTCGTAAAGCACCTTCTACTCCCATAAGCCCACTAGAACCTTCAAAGTTTTGCTTGCAGCTACTTTCATGTTTATTTTTGTTTCGGCATCTACAATACTTAGATAAAACTTCTACATCTAACACTTTGCCAGTGTCTACACTCGTAACAGAAACAGCACCATTCAATGACGTGAAGCCTCGCTTCTGCCAGGTTCCGTCAACTGCCACTGCTACGCTATTATCATTATTATTTTCCAATTTACTTTCACTTGCAGCTTCTTTCATGGATACATCTGACACTTGCTGCACAGCTGTCAAGAGTCTCTTATTGTAAAGTGCAAATCTTGTAGGTGGTTGAGGTAAATTCATAACGGCTGAAAACATTCTACCTGCTTCAGCACCTTTACCAATGGAACGCATGGCATATACATATCTTGTATTTATGGTTACTATCTGACTGTTTTTATGAAAACCAGATGTCCAGAATTTATGTTCAAAAGAACATTCATTACATTTTAAAAGGCATAACAAAGCCAATCCAGAATTTGGCTTCAAAATTCTAAGATCAAGTCTAGTGTTACACACCTTGCATCGAACAACATTTTTAAATATATCTGCAAATATATTCATATCCACCAATGCATTAATTAAACCATTGTCTTCTTGGAAAAACAGGAAAGAATCATCCAAATTCGGTACTTTCTTTTCTTTAGCAAAAAGTTCCCCATCAACATCACTTTTCTTTTCAGAAACCAACTTCCTTTCACAATAAAAACCTTAACGTTTTTTAAAATGTTTAGTTGATCGAGGCATATTTATGTTACAAAATTAAAGCAACAAATTAAAATAAAAGCAATGATTGCAGATGTATAATCTCAGTTGTTGTTTAAAAAATTCGCAAATAATAACACTCAACGTGCTCGATAATCAGATGATTAATGAACACAAAAGCTGAGTTATTGACTACAGTTATTGTAAATTTTCAAATATATGTTGTTAGCTTGTAGCTTTCACATTAGAAATAAAAGTTTATCTTTATCCAGGGAAAAATATAAAAAGAATGCAAGAATTCACTATGATGTCATAGAATTGACTCTTCTGTTTTCGTTTTGAGATGTCAAATGTGGGCGTGGCACAGCCAATGGATCGTTTGTTTACATTTTGAAATCTGAATTTAACTAACTTCTGTTGTTGTTGCTAATTCCCATCTGGTCTGACGGGGTCAGACCAGATCAATGAATCCATTGATATTGAGAAAATCCAAAACCAGAATGGGAGAGGAATGAATATCGTTCCAGTCCAGCCCTAAACAGATCAAGATGTGCTCAGGTGATGCCTGGTTTTGTTGGCATTTAGGGCAAAGAGGAAAGATCTTTTGATTTGCAGAAATTGTGAGACTTTTCAGGAGTCCACTGGCTAGTCGGGATAGGCAGGTGTTGGTTTGCCTGTCACCAGTGAGAGATAGAGTCCTGGTCTTTTTGCTTTATACCAGTAGTGAATAGGTGGAAGCAGCCACTTTTGTTTGTTCTGGGCCTTTTGCCTTACAAAAAGTTCAAGGTATGTAAGCTCTGAGGTGGAGGGGACTGGATGGTCTAGTCCAGCCAACTCGTTGCCGTGGATATCGACGTGGGACGGGATCCATTGAAAGTGGACCTTATGCTGTTGGGAAATGAGCTTTACTTTTTGTAAGATCGAAAAACTGGTTTTATCTCCAATGAGGGCCCAATTTTTGAGGTGTTGAATTGAACTACGGCTGTCAGATAGTATCCAAGTATTTCCAAGGTGACCTTCACTCAAGATTTTCTCTAGTCCCCTGTCGATTGCAATTAGTTCGCTTCGAAAGACGGAGCAAAAATCGGGGTTTAGTTGATGAAGAGTGTAGTTCTCTCGAGGTGTTTCAATAAATACCCCACTGCCAGTCATCAGAGAATATTTTGATGTCGTTTGGAGGGATTTTATTGATGATTTCCAGGGACATTGTCTGAGGAAGTCAGGCACACAGTCTTTCTTGTCAAGCATGGTAGGGAGGCTTTCATGAAAACTAACATTGGAAAGATCCAAGCAAGTACTAACATTGCTATGAAGATAAAGAGGTTCAATATTTTCAGCGATTAACAGTTGTGATTAACATGACTAAAAGGACTGTTTTTCTTTAGCCTTTGATTGCAGGTCCAGTTATTTAGGTAAATAGCAGTTAAATTGCCTTGGTCTAAACTGGAAAGTTCATTGTAATATTTCACTAAATTAGCTTGCCTTCTGAAGTTAAGAGGTTGCAGATCTGCTTCGTAAAGAACGATCTCTGAAGGGCAGTTTCAGTCCAGTGATGATGCGAGCGGCGCTCAGTTGAACCTTTTCCAATTTGTTTAAGTTAGATTGAGAAGCACAGCAGTAGACAGGATAGCCATATTCAAGAATTGGTCGAACAAGAGCCTGGTAGGAAGTCCTAAGAGTAGTTGCATCTGCTCCCCAATCCCTACCAGCGATACACTTAATAATATTTAGGCGCTTCCTAGCCTTCGAGACAATATAATCAATATGTTTGTTACTTGTAAATTCGGGATCGAGAATGTATCCCAGGTATTTTGGGTGTTTCTCGTAGGAGAGCTTCTGGTGTTTGAGAAACAAGGATGGTTCATATTTATAAAGTCGCTTATTAGTAGTGAAGAAGGTGGTTATCGATTTGGTTGGGTTGAAGCTCAATTTGAGTTCATCTGCGTACTTGGACAGGGCTTCTAATGAGTTGTTGAGTCTCGACTCAATCTCGGCAACGTCGTCACCGCTACCCCAAAGAGCAATATCATCAGCGAACATTCCGATGCGAGTCCCGAGAGAAACAGTTTTCTCAATTCCGGCCATGTACAGAGTGAATTAACTAACTTCTAGTTTTGGTAAACACAAAATTATATATCGTTGGAAAGGTCTTGAACTGAATATTACAAAAATGAAAAAATCTCAAAACCGATTTTTTGAAAGTTTAGGGGGTACTGACTCCCTTAATTTCAGGTTCAAATGACTGTGATAAAGACGCCAAAGAAAATTTCTCTGCATACCAGCAGTTGCTTAAGGAAGTGGAGGTTGAGAATCCACACTGTCAGATTTTTATCACCAAAATATTCAAACGAAGGCCAAATGGCTTTTTACCAGTCCAACAACGGCTTTCTGAAAGGCGGAGATTGAGAAACTGGAATTCAAATGTTGAAGCCTTAAATGAAGTGTTAAGTAATGAAGCCATGAGGAATGCAAATCTCCACTTTTGCTGTTCTCCTAAAGTCACTTGGGACAGATACCTGGGGCGTGATAGTGTCCATTTTGATAGGACAGGAAATGAGATCTTTGCTGAGTACATCACTGATATTTTGTCTGGATACTTTGCATGGCTTTTAAAATGCGAAACTGAAAGAACAGGTCTGTTAAGTACTGTATAATTTTATTTCCAATTTTTTTTTTCTTTATTGACGTGTGTTTTCTTTGGTATTTTTTGAAGAAGATATTTAATGTATCTTTTTATGTGTGAGGCTTAAAATGGTCTACTTTTCTCATATCTGTTGTTGCTAATAGCATTTAACATAAATTTACAGATTAATTATTTTGTTTATATTAGAGAGTGGTTAAATATAATTTTTCTTTGGTAGAATGGTTGCTGACACGTAAGTTTTTATTTTAGTTTGTTATATTAAAAGGTTAGTTTACACTAAACTTGGCTAATAAATTTTAAGTACTAAGTATTTTAAGTATTAATTACTACTAAGTAGTAGTGTTTCATTTTATAATCTCTTCAAGTTGTAAGTTTTTGAATGTAATCCCTTTAAAAGATTTAAATTTGAAGCTTAAATTAGTTTTATGTAATTATGTAGCTATGTTTATGTATCTATGTTATATTGATTATGACTAATTATTAAGCAAAGTTACTTATTGTGTAGGTAGGTTTCTTTTATATTGTTGTGAAAATTTTAGACATTGTTTTGATGAGGTTATCTGACCAAAGAATTTGTTGTGATTTGTCAAGCTGTGTATGTGAGGTCTATGGTTTTTATTTGGTTTTACATCTTATAGATTTTGATTTATTTTTGTGTTTAGTAGTGCCCTTGTCTTCTAAGACACCTGTACTTAAAGTCGCTCAGCACTCGGAGGCACCAAAGGCGGAAAGAAAGCAAGAATTTTATTCTGCCATTTTAAAGAGGAGAATAGTTTTTGAACCTTTGGTGCTATTTTTTAAAATTTGCACTTGTCAGCAAATCACGTTCAGTAACACAATTTAGTTTTAAACATGTGGTATTAGCTTATTGCTAGTAAAGCTAATAACCAAGGTATTTTCTGTTAATACAAATAATAAGTAATATGATTAAGATTAATCACATTTATATTAATCCATCATTTTAATTCGAATGTTAATATTGTGATAATGATTTTAGAGTTATTCCCGTTTCTGATCTTCCCTGTGAAACAAGGATTCGAGCTCAGATGAACCATCCACATCTGTTATTTTGCCCCTTGCCACTGAATTGCATAGTGAGGCTAAGTGTTACAGCAGTTCAGGCTGGACTCTTGTTGGCCGAAGGAATTTATATTATATGTGATTTGTTTACTGATTTTTAAGGTTTGATGGAGGCTATAATTTATTTATTAATTCCTTTCTAGGCTTGGATATAAAGGACTAAAATTTTCATCATTGTAAGTGACATTTTATGTTTGTTAGTGTAGTTTATCAAGTTAATGTTAATATTCATTCTATGAGAACTAATAAATGATTTGGATGTTTTTTTTTCGATCAGTGTTGGGCTTATGACAAGATTTTATATTTTCTGGCTATGAGTGATTGTTTTGTATTATAGGTGTGAGGAAGTACCATGCCCAAAAGGATTGACTTGTTCTGGAGCTAAAGAAGACTATGCTGATACTGATTGTACAGTTTCTCAGTAAGTTTTTTTCTTCCTTCCTTTAAAGGTTCTCCTTTCTATTTTATTGTTCTACTGTGTAGATTTTCATTGTGTTATAGATATAAGGAAGCATTTTATGTTGCAAAAGTCTAGAACAAATCCAGTTGTCTCTAAATATTTTTTTCTTTTTATAAATATTCTCCATTTACAATTCGTCCATCTACAACTGTTTGTTTTTGTAAACTGAAACCACCTCTTTATATTTATAGGTTTGCCTCTTTCTATGGCAAAAAGTCTAAGAGAAGGGATTGTTCTGTTGTTACAAAAGTAAAGAATGCGGGTTCTAAAGATACAATTTCTGGGTTAGTGTTATTTTTTTCTTTCTCCAATACTTTGTAAGTATTGTTCAGAATTTTGCTCATTTCTGTTTAATCATTTTGCTTTGTAGTTTTTTATTTTTCTTTCTTTTTTTGCAATATAAATGTGAAGAAGCATTTATCAATGCCAGAGCCAAGAATATGTGCAGTAATTTTTTAAATATTATTTTTTTTTAAATATTCCATTTAATGCTTTTGTTAGTTCTACATCTGCAATTAATTGTAGATGTAGAAGACTTTCTATACATACATGTAGTTTATATATGTGTATGCTTATATATTTTTATGCATGTGGCATGTGGATTAATTTATTTCAGTTGCAGAAAGTCCAGAAAGAATTGTGATATTGTATAGTTTCCAATAAAAAGAGTAAAAGTTCTCAGGATACAGCCTCTTTGTTAGTTTCATTTTCTTTCAACAAAAAAAATTATCCTCTGTTAGACACAGTTGTTCCAAACATACAATAAATTGCCTTTGTTTGAATGTATACGCTGACTTCATAATACTACATATACATTTATTTATTTCAGGCGCAATAAGTCTAGGAGAACTGTTGCAAAGGGGGAAAAGACTGCTTCTGGATGTTCAATTTCAGAGTTAGTGTTATTTTCTTTTTCTCTAATTCTTTGAAAGTGCAGATAAGAATTTTAAACGAAAGATTTATCCCCTGTTAGACACAATTTTTCCAAACATGCAATAAATTGCCATTGTTTGAATGTATACGAAGACTTCATAATAAATATATGTATGTTGAAAAATATGTTACTACATATACATTTATTTATTTCAGGCGCAATAAGTCTAGGAGAACTGCTGCACAGGGGAAAAAGACTGTTTCTGGATGTTCAAATTCGGAGTTAGTGTTATTTTCTTTTTCTCTAATTCTTTGAAAGTGCATATAAGAATTTTAAACGAAAGATTTATCTCCTGTTAGACACAATTTTTCCAAACATGCAATAAATTGCCTTTGTTTGAATGTATACAAATAATAAATATACTTCATAATAAATATATGTATGTTGAAAAATATGTTACTACATATACATTTATTTATTTCGGGAGCAATAAGTCTAGGAGAACTGTAGCACAGGAGCAAAAGACTGCTTCTGGGTGTTCAATTTTAGAGTTAGTGTTTTATTCTTTCGGCCCTAGTTGTTTGAAAGCGTCTTTCATAGTTTTGCTCTTTCCTGTTAACAAATAAACTTTCCTTCTATTTTACAGTCCAGTCATAAGAGCTCTGTTACTTAAAATTATCACTTTATCTATAATTTGTTCTTTAAAGTTGATCTAAATTTAATTTCTCGCATCGTGTGGGTAAAAAGTTGGAATGTTATTCTAAAAATTGTTCTTGATTGTGTGTAGGAAATGATTTATGATATTGTGTATATTGTATTAGTAGTTAATTTTTTAACTTTTGCTATGTTTTAAGTGTCATAAGGAAGCAGTCCTAAGTGTAAAGGATAGAAATTCTAAGGCCAAAGTTAGTGCAGAGTACTCAATAAGCCGGTAAGTTATTTTATCTTGATTATTTTCTCTGTAATTCAAGACTCATAATCATAGTTATTTATTTTTGAACAGTCTACTTTTCATTACTCTCTTACCCACATTAATTTTCTCTTCTCTGTACATATTGCTATTTCTTTTTAGTTAAAGATAAACTGCGAAAGTTTACATGCATAGTGTATTTTACTTCTTTCAGCACTATGCAACATAATTTTTTTCCTCTTTTTACTGAGCTGATTTTTGTAATCTATATTTTGCATTGTCTTTTATCTTTGTTATCTTACATACACAGGTGTAATTGTGGAAAGTACATTTGCTTAAAAGACGATGATTGTATGCATTCCTTTCAAGTAAGTTCAAGTTTGTTGTTAACATCTGATAGTAATAGTTTAGGTTATTTAGATGATAATAGTTATAAGTTTTTCTTTCATTGCTAATCAAACATTTTCTTCAAGTATTCTCAAACAATCAGTTTTAGATGGTTATAATTTAAGTTATACTAATTATATAACTCGTTCATTTTTTTTATAATTCTCCTTTCTCTCTAGTTACTTCTTTGAGGTATCCTGTTTGGTCAGTGCCTGGTTGTAGTTTTAGTTATTTAGATATATTTAGTAAGCATTTATTAGTTAATATAACTAACTATTCTTGTTGTGGTGGTGCTCCTAAAACTGCTTATGAAAAGTATTGTGCTCTATGTAAGAAAACTTACCATTCCTCTTCTTCATTCAGTAAACATAGTAAAAATTGCAATGTAGCTCTTCCTGCAACTTTGGACGTATTGGATAATGAGAGTTGTGAGACTCTAAAATGTGATAGTTGTTTAAAAATATTTCCGTTTAAGTCATATTTAATTCGACATAGTAATTTTTGTCCCAATCTTGCATACCCATGTCCGTATCATGAGTGTAATTACAGGTTTCGTTTTGTTTTGCATGCCATAAAGCATAGTATTGATGAGCATGGTATAGACATGAATGTGACTCAGCTGAATTTCAAAGATATGCAAAGTGGTTGGATAATGAATCTACAAGAACATATTCAAGTTTTAAGAAAGATACTGGAAGAAAGATTTCTAATGATGGAAAAAGTTTCTATTCATACTACACTTGCCAATTTTCCAGATCATTGAAAAAAGTAGCCGAAAAAAAAGACTAGTAGAAAAAATGTAAAAGGAGTTATACCTACCGATGTAGCTTGTATTGCCCTAATAATTTGTTGTGAGAAACCAGATGGAATTGCTGTTCAGTACTTTTCTAACCATAATCATGCATTGACCGAAGAAAATATTGAGTTCCAACCTCTTAAGAAGACATTTCGAAATTTTGTTAAAGCAAGTGCTCAACTAGGAATCCCAGCTTCTAAGGTTATTGATTGTTCGAGTTGATGAAAATGATTTAATTATTAAGGAGTCACTTCTTACGAAAAGTAAATTAAAATATTATTATGATACTGTCAGGTCCTCTTCATAATCATTGCTTCATAAAGATGTCAGTCATTGTCATGTCAGTCAAAGTCAGTCATTGCTTCATAAAGATGATGCAATGACTGTCCATCTTTTGGTAAACGATATGATGCAGTGGAAATATAATCCTGAATTTCTAGATGTTGTTTTAGGTCCTACAGATGTGAATATTGACTTACCTCAAGATTAATTTGTTTTAGGTATACAGACAGCCCAACAAAACGAAATGCTAAAGATTAATGGTAACAAAATTTTGTGTATTGATTCCACACATAAAACTAATCAGTATGATTTTTATTTACTTAATTTATTGGTCCAGGATGAATATGGGTGTGGTTATGCGGTTGCACATTTTATTGTTAGTAAATTAGATAAAGAGATTATGATTTCTTGTTTTACCAGCATTAAAGACAGAGTCAGAGACTTACAGGTAACAAATGTTATGACAGATGATGACAAGACTACTGGCCCTGTGATTGATTGATTGAATGTAGGGTTTAATGGCACAAAGTCCAAAGAAGGACATGCTGCGCCAAACAAACGGTTTTAAAATAAAGGTAAATGTATCTACTGGCCCTGTGTTTCAGATAGTTTTTAAGAAAAGAAATATATGCATGTTTAGTTTAGTAGAGCCATCCATTATAAATTTAATGACATGATGGATTATTCCAAAAGAAGATATATTGCCAAAGCGCCTATATTTGTTAATTACTTTATTGATAATTATTGTACGGAAGATAAAAAACCTCTCTGGAGTATGTGTCATCGTCAATTTCCGTATGCGGTTACTGATACAAATATGTATTTCGAATCTTTTCACAATAAATTAAAGACACATTATTTAAAACTTAAATTCAATCGAAGGGTAGATGTTTTAATAAATATTCAACACATATCCAGAGCATAAGTTAAAAAAAGCAATGGGTATTCCGCACTGTTCATATCCTCCTACATATTATAAGCGACATTATGATGGAATGAAAATAAAAGACGAATATGTTGAAAGCATAACAAAAAACACCTGGCTAGTGAAATCTCAGAGAGATATTAAACTTAAGTATGAAATAACAAAACTTATGAAAGAATGTCTTAGTATTAGTGAGTGTTACACAAAGTGTATTAAATTGCCTTGTTTAAATCTTTGTATGCATATGTATAAATGTGAATGCCTAGATAATCATCCTATTTGCAAACATATACATAAAATACATTCTATACATTCCAACAAATGCCATTCATTGAGCTTAGTTCAAAGGAAGACATTGATACAGATGAAGACAAGACACTTTACCAAACCATGCTTTAAAGGTTGTTAGAGCAAATGATGATAAATTAGAAGAATCTTTACAAGAACATGAATCAAAGATAGATGTTAAAGTGAATGCAAATGAAAATAGAGAGTTGCTTTTGACAAATATTACTTTGGGTCACGCAGAATTCCCTCCTACTATGGTACGCTCAAAAGGGGCAGCTTTTAATTCTTATTCGGACGTGGAGGCTAAAATGAAAGAAATCAGTATTTTGTTGAATAGGTTAGGTAGTTTAGTACAAGATAAAACTATTCAAAGCACCATTTTACCATTCATAAATAATACACTGGTTATCATAAATTAAGGAAAAATCACAAAAATAGCGATAACTCTTTCAAAAGTAAGCCAAACCGTGCAAAATTTGCATATGTTGTCCACTAAGAGTAGCTGAGTAAAATTGCAATATGCAAATTAGTGGCGCTGCACTCGNACTGGCCCTGCGTTTCAGTAGTTTTTGGCAGTGAGTTTCACCATCTTTTATGCAAATGGCATATCCATAGGGCTTGGAATAGGAAACAATGAGAAAAGAAATATATGCATGTTTAGTTTCTATTCTAGAAGAGCCATCCATTAATAAATTTAATGATATGATAGATTATTTCAAAAAAAGATATATTGTCAAGGAGCCTATATTTGTTAATTACTTTATTGATAATTATTGTACGCAAAATAGATGACCTCTCTGGAGTATGTGTCATCGTCAATTTCCGCATGCGAATACTGATACAAATATGTATTGCGAATCTTTTCACAATAAATTAAAGACACATTATTTAAAACGTAAATTCGATCGAAGGGTAGATGTATTAAAGATAGAAGACACATATTCAGAGCATAAGTTAAAAAAAGGCAATGGGTATTCCACGCTGTTCACATCCTCCTACATATTATAAGCGACATGATAGAATGAAAATAAAAGACGAAGATGTTGAAAAAATAACAGAAAATACCTGGCTAGTGAAATCTCAGAGAGATATTAAAATTAAGTATGAAATAACAAAAC